AGGGAAAAGGGTCAGGAAATGCAGGGGATCCTAACATATTTAATATTAAGTATGTCAAGGATTGCTTTTGAAATTAGGTTGATCAGAAACTTAGAAAGGGTGAATCTGATTTATTATATTTAAAATTGTTCTGAGTATGAATATGTAGCAAAATCTTGATTGCATGAATAAATTTAAATAATCTTAAATAAAAAATATCATAAGACAGTGTTTTAACGTAAGCGATGTAATTCTTCCACTGTTTTGTAAAGAGTGAACTGAGAAAGCCTCATCCAGAAGAATGCCCAAAAGTCTTACCTGCCGTAATTATAAAGGCCATGGTAACTATTTGTTTAGGTAACTTCTAAAATGTAAGTTTATTATTATTCAGGTATGATGAGGCCAACACATTTAGACATGATTGCCATTGAAAAGAGTTTTGTTATACTCATAGTCCCAAGGGAAGGAGTCATGTTATGCCATGGCGGAAGGCAGAAAAGGTGTTCTTATGGACACATAAGTAAAGCCCAGGGTTGGTCAGGAATCAGAGGAAGTCAGAAGTCAGGGGAAAAGTTGAGCAGGAGTGTTGATCGTGGTTTCTATAGGAAAGAGATGGGCCAGGCAGGGCAATTAGGTTTGAGATTGGCTCGTTTGAATAATTTCAGTGGGCTTTGGGGCTTAGGGCTGTCCCTAGTTGTCTGTCACCTGGTTTGGAGGGATTAGGGCAGGAGGATAAGAGTGATAGCTGGCTGAAAGAGAAGCTTTGGGGTATGGGTTCTGGATTGGTGGTTTGCCTCTGAAAGGCACACTTGCAGGCACGTCCTTTACTATCCCCAGGAATTGGCTAGTCCTGGCCACTCCAGGGTCAGTGAAGCTAAAATATCAAACCATCAAAATTACAGAATAAAATCACAGAATGAATTCATTCACCCAGGGATCCTTAGGCCATAAATTTTCCTGAACTCATTTCTGAGTCAGGAGTTCTCTCTAGCTACATCACTATCATTTTTTTTTTTAAGATTTATTTATTTACACTAGAATGGGGGTACAGGCCAGAGGCATGGGAGGGTGAGACAGTTCACCTGAGACAGAGTTGGGGGCAGAACAGGCCAACGGACCGAAAACACTGCTGAGGGGAGCAGCGGGCGAGACAGGAGAGGTCTGATGCGCCATGTGGGTGTCTCCCTGGCTGTCCAGGAATCAAATCCACGCTGCAGAAGCTGAGGATATCTTCACAAGTCTGCTCAATGCGCTGCACCACTGGGGAGGCCCCATCACTATCTTAAGAAGAGTTCAGGACCAATACTCATCTGTGCTTGCTTTGTTTAAGGGTTTTCAACCTGGGGGCCTCCTTGGTGGCTCAAGGGGCTAAGACACAGCACTATGAAGCTATCTGCAACTACTGCAGCACGAGTTCGATCCTTGGCCAGGAAGGTGACCCACATGGCATGGCAGACCTCTCCTATCTCGCCTGCTGCTCCCCTCAGCAATGCATTTCAGTCAATCCACCTGTTCTGTTCCCCACTCTGTTTCTGGTGAATCCTCTCACCCCCTGCACCTCTGGCCTGTTCCTCAGTTCTTGTATGCATAAATAAATAAATATTTTAAAAAATAAATAAAGTTTTCAACCTGCATCTCTCTCTTGCTGTGCTCTTCTAGGTTGGAACCTGGTTCCATTATTTCTTACATCCCACATCTTTTTCTTAAAAAAACAGACATATTTTTTCTAAAATTTTATGCTTTTTCTGATTACTGAGAAAAGAAGCAAAAAAAAAATCTAATCGAAGGAAGGGCCAATTAAAAGTGCACTGGAAGATAAGTAAGAGAAGGACCTAAAGAAATGACTCAACAGAATATTCTAGTGATTAGGGCAGGCCATTGCTAGGAATAGGACTGCTGTCCCCACAGAATACTTATTCCTGAGGTTTTCTTGATCCAGTCTTTCAAATATACCTTTTATTATAATTAATAAATGACCAAGAATCAATATTTGATGATTTTATATCTTAGGACCTCACTGAGCCTGGAGTGGCCAGGACTAGGCAATTCCTAGATAGAAGTGTGGTTTACCATTATTATCCTATATAATAACCATAAGAATTTTCCATCCTACTGTGTTATTTGTTATTTAGAAATTTGAAAAGTTAAGGAGTGGTAGAACCTGGGTGGAATTTGGAAACAAAAATACAGTGCAGTGATATACTTCAGAACCTAGCTGAAATCCTTTAGTTTCTAGGAAGTCTTTTATTTCTCTAATTCTTAGAGAACAGCCTATGATTTGAATTACAAGAGAAAATTTTCTACTTAGTATACTTAATTACCTTATTTGTAAAAATTATTCCTTTCTTAGTGTTCTGTTGGAGGAGATAGAGTTGGAGATAGAGTTCTACTCTGAGTGGATGTATTCAGTCCATCCCCTGTGTATACATAAACACAGTAAAACCCACTGCCACAAAACACACCAATGAAGTCTCCTTCCTGCCCCCAATTCCCTTAACACACACACCTCACCTTCCCCACATCTCCCTGAATTACATGCAATCACCTCCAGGAGAAGCCAAAGCTGATTGATTGTTAGAAAGAGTTGCCTGGAATTTCTATGAAATATGCAATTTTATTGTCACATTTCTGCTGTAAAATTAATAATTCAGTTAACTTGAATGACTGCTTTTTAATAAACAACATTAAGTAGTCATATCCTACATTGTCCCATGGGAAGCTACTCTCATTCGTTCTGTGCATTCACTTGGGGAGAAAGAAAAAAATTGCCACCTCTTTGTAGAAGTAGCTTTTTTAAAGATTATATCATGAAGTCTACCTTAGTTTTACTCTAAGATTAGAGCTCAAATTGCTAACATTAATTATTGTAAGACAAAAATAATTCACTGGCTTTTATTGAATAATAAAAACCTAAAACATGACAATCTATTCAAGTCTGCAGAACTCTTAAGTTTCACAGGTAGCAGACAGCCCCACTCTCAAAGCAAAGGTCAAGGTGGGATTCCACAGTAAGGTTACCTATACCATCAGGGGTCAATATATATGAGCATGTGTGTGTGTGTTAAACAGTGTGGGGTTAGTGAGTGAGTGACAGTGTGTGTGTGTGTGTGTGTGTGTGTGTGTGTGTGGCATTTAGGGATTTGGAAACCAAGTCAGAGAATAGCCACTGATTAGGTTCCTGAGCTCTGGAACCAGTCTGGTGGGGTTTAAATAGCAGTGTGGTCATTTAGCAGTGGTGTGGTTTTGGGAAAAACAGAGAGAAAATAGTATCTTCCTCTAAGTCTGATGTCAGGATGAAATGAATTAGTGCATACAGAGCGCTTAGAATAATGCCTGCAAAATGGTGAGCCTTTAACAAATGTTAGCTACTGCCAAGATGGACCAGAGGCAAGCTGTGCCTCAAGCACTCTTTTATAGGGAAACTTACATCCACTCAGAGTTTGGAGTGTGGATTATAAAGGGAGAAGATAATGAGATTAAAAATAAGAATTGCTAAAAATTAGTTTCTCTATAAAATACTGGAAAGGGCTGGCAATGGGTAGGCAGGATTTCAGGTGGGCAAGCAAATGGCCCAGATTCCTCCAAACCTCCACCTTTTGAGTTTGCACATCACTAGATGGCAGTGTAAATTCCCAATAATCTCTAAATAAATGTATCCAAATCCATCCAAAAGAAAAAAATATCTGAAGAATAGCATGAAAACTGGTGAGAAGCATGTTCCTAAGTGATTAATGATTGAAGAGGAAGACATAATGACTATTTAAGGATATGTAACGTGTAGAACAGAATATATTTATTTTAATTGTACATATATATGCACATTAGAAAATCTTGATGAGATCATGAAAAATTATTTTAGTTGATTTTTTATATTCAGATATTGTTTTCTATATTTAGATAACAAAATTCTACCAGCATTACACATGCTTTAAGAATTCAAAATAGGGCCTCCCCGGTGGCGCAGCGGTTGAGCGCTGGGTTGCGAAGCTGCCCGCGGCCTCTGCGGCCCCGGTTCGATCCCCGGCTGCTCCCCGGCCACCGGCGGAGGGTCCCACATGGCGCGCAGACCTCTCCTGCCGCCCGCTGCTCCCCTCAGCAGTGTACTTCGGTCCTTCTGCCTGCTCTGCTCCCCGCTCTGGCTCTGGTGAATTCTGTCACCCTCCCGCGCTTCTGACTGTACCCAGTGCATGTATAAAAACAAACAAAAAAAAAACAAACAAACAAACAAAATAAATAAATAAAACATGCCTCTATAAAAAAAAATAAAAAAAAAAAAAAAAAGAATTCAAAATAACTTTTTAGAGCAGCAGCACTTGAAATTTGTGGGTGAGCCAGTGTTGATAATGAATGGGCTCAACACAAAGAATAATGACAGACCTCACACTCTTTTCATAAAGAATGTTTCAAATTTATCCTATAAAGTCAATTCCTGTGAACATCACAACAATCCAGGAGAAAGAAAAGACTTATTCCCAACAATGAAAAGCATTAAAATAGAATTAGAGAACATTCAGATTTCAGAGGTTATATACTATGTAATCAACTTTGTATTGATTAAATTGAGAAAAACATGACTTCCAAGGTATGACTAGTATATTTCCACATACAAATATAGCCACATCACTAAGGCAATCTTGCACCAAGGCCCAGATGCAAGGTTCTAGAGTCAGATAGAAAATGAACATTTATATAAAGAGTGTGGATCTCACTTGCTTCCTGCTGGCCAGCTCTCCTTGTCACTTTACCCCAAACTGGATAGCAGGTTTATAGCTTGGACTGGAAACTACTATACCTCATGACTGCTACTACCAGATGTGTATATAGTGGCAGTGTGGAGGATCTCAGAATTATGTGTGATGGCATGGTGCACATTCTTTACCATTTATTTACCAGAGTGAGGTAAGAAGGAGAGAAAAGAATTGCTTCCTTGGGCTTTATAGTTACTTTCCTCTGAGTTTTTAGATGCTGATGGTGGAGAGAAGCTATAAAATATAAGTGGTCGTAATAACTAGTCCTTTTACCCTGATGGATATCCCAGCACATGGCTTACTGTTCTCTTGGCAACTGCAAAGCATCCATAGTAAAATAACCATCAACTGGGATTTGTCTGATGTTTTTCTCTTGATTGGACAGGGTATGGGTTTTCAGGAAGAAGACCACAGAGGTAATGTGCTATATTCATCATAGCAGATCAGATGCACAAACTGTCAACATAATTTATCACTGGTGTCTCCATTGTGAAATCACCCTCCCCACCCTCTTTCCATACAGTACTGTTTGGAGTGAAGTCACAATGCACAGTTAACCCTTAAAAAGCAGGGAATTATTATCCATCTTCTTCAGGGTGGATAATCTCCATACATTGATTGGGATTCTGTGGCATGGAAGATTTGTCAATTCTTTCTGTCTCTACCTACCTGTCTGTCTGTCTGTGTGTGTGTCTATCTATCTATCTCATATTTTCATTCCTTCAATAAGTCATTCATTCATATCAATATGTACTCAAATATTTATTTTATATTTGGGGCTACAATCTAATTATATAACTTTATTTTGTTGCTCTAATCGTTCCATCTTTGGTCATTGGGGATTCTTTCAGTTAATAACCATTACTTTTTAAAAAGTCAACATCAGCAGAAACCAAGATAGTCTGAAAAACTATCACAACCAAGAGAAGTCCGAGGAGATCTGATGACTAAATGTAATGTGGTATCTTGGATGGAATCTTGGACCAAAACATAAGACACAAGGTGAAAACTTAGAGAATTACAACAAATAATGGAATCTGAATGCAGTATAGACTTAGTAACAATAAATCAATAATATTTCGGGCCTCCCCGGTGGCGCAGCGGTTGAGCGCTGGGTTGCGAAGCTGCCCGCGGCCTCTGCGGCGTTGGTTCGATCCCCAGCTGCTCCCCTATCACTGGAGGAGGGTCCCGCATGGCGCGCAGACCTCTCCTGGCGCCCGCTGCTCCCCTCAGCAGTGTACTTTGGTCCTCTGCCTGCTCTGCTCCCCGCTCTGGCTCTGGTGAATTCTCTCACCCTCCCGCGCTTCTGACTGGACCCAGTGCTTGTATAAACAAAACAAACAAAGAAAGAAAGAAAGAAAGAAAGAAAACATGCCTCTATAAAAAAAAAAAAATAATAATATTTCATTAATTGTGACAAATGCAACATACTAATGTAAAATACTAATAATGTAATTAATAATGCTGCAAAACTAAATAGTCACATACAAAAGTATGAAACTGGATCCCAAATCTTACACCATATACAAAAATCTACTTAAAAATGGATTAAACTCTTGAATATAAGGCCTGAAACCCCAAAATTTTTAGAAGAAAACATGAACATTGGTCTGGACAGTGTTTCTTATGATCTGAACAAAAGCAAAGACAACAAAACAAAAATAAGCAAATAGGCCTACATTAAACTACAAAACTTCTGCACAGCAAAGGGAGCCATCAACAAAATGGAACTACAACCTAGAGAATGGGAGAAAATACTTATAAGCCACATATGTGATAAGGGGTTTATATTCAAAATATTCAAGGAACTCATATAGCACTCTAAACCTAAATAGTCATTTTTCCAAAGAAGAAAAACAATTGACCATCAGGTACATGAAAATGTTCTCAATACCAGTAATCACGAGGAAATGTAAATTAAACCCACAATAATTGTCACCTCACACTAATTAGAATGTCTGTTATAGAAAAGATAAGAGATAGCAAATACAAGAAGAATGTAGAGAAAAGAGAACACTGTTGGTGGGAATGTGAACAGGTTCAACAAGTATAGAAAATAGTATGAGTTTTCCTCTAGGAATTAAAATAAGAATTATCTTGTGATCCATCAATCCTACTTCTGGATCTATCAATATATCCAAGGAAAATTAAATCACTGTCTTGAAGAGAAAGCTATATTCCCATATTTATTGCAGCATTATTCACAAACCAAAGTATGTAAACAATCTAAGTGCCTAGTGACAGATGAATGAGAAAGAAAATGTGATATATGAAATATACCAAAATAATGAATATTATTTAGCCTTAAAAATGAAGGAAATCCTGCCATTTGTGGCAACATGGATGAACCAGGACAGCATTATGCTAAATGAAACACACCAGATAGAAGAATATACTGAATGATATCACTACTAAATGGGCTCTAAAGCCAACCAAAGAAAGACTTGAACTCATAGAAACAAAGAACAAAAGAGTAGCTCCATTTCAGCAGAATTTTCAAGGAGTTAAGAATATGATTGGAGCCACACTCCTGTCTGCCACAAAGGACAGAGAGCCACTTAGTTCTCAACATAAACTGAAATATTCAAGATTTCTTCCTCTAAATTGATTGTCAATCCACTCAGAGGAACTCTTAGTATTTATTGCAAAGTTAACTCAGTAATAGTGATCTGAGATGTCCCATCTGTAGTGAGCAATGAAAAACTTAATCAAGGGCCACTGTGGATGAATAAACTTTCTCAAAGTTCTAATGCCACTAGACTGGGATAGAGCTGCTCCACAGCTGTGAAAGTATAGGGTGGTGTCACCTTGCATATCTCTGTTACCTTCAGTCCAAATGTAGCTTTGTGTCTGTGCAGATTCACCTTAACAGCCGCTTAAATATCTTCTGTGTGCAGCCTAGGCTGTGGACAGCAACATTATCTTTCCACTTTAGAAAGTGATGACTCTGCATAGCCAGCCCCAAATTACACTGACCTTTTTGATAGCTAGGTCACATCCCATAGCAAGAGTCAATTGGACTGCCAGGTTCACCCTTAGGTCTTTTAAACACTGGAGATTAACAGGATGTTCCCCCGCCTCACTAAATGTCTGTATTTCTGATTTGTGTCTCCATATGCATTGATCTCTATTTCTAGGCACATTTAGTTTTGAATTTGCAGCTTTTCCCTTTCTACATTCACTTTTCTGTTTGTTGATATCCTTAATTTGTGTTATGGAGAAATCATCTATTGCTCCTAAGATACTACAACCCCAGATAATTCTGACATTTGCTGTTTTATAAGTGATTAGAAATCTAAATCATGCGTATGTGATTAAAAGAGGGCATTTGAGATTTAGGGACAGCTATATTATAATTATGATGATGAAAATAATTACTTCTTTTTTCCATTATTTCCAAAAGGAGGCACAATTTAATATTCCCTTCAGAAAGTCATGGTAGATTTGTCACCATAAAAGGCTTTGAAAAAAGAAGCATTTGTTTCTAGAGAACCAAGACTTTCTGGAAGAGATTTTATGCCAAGGATCCTGACGTAGTCACAAGCTTGAGGCACATGTCTCAATTTCCCATAACCTGCAGACTAGTGAGAGTAAGAAAATGCAGTGCTCACATTCTTTTGCTAAAATGGACTTGCTTATTTGCTTTCCTGTGTAATTTGTGTTCATTGTTAAAATCATCACTGCCATGAAGAATCACACAGTTGTCAAGAGTGGCACAGAATACACTTCTGAGCCAATTATCATGGGCTCAGATAATGATAATTGCATATGCCTCAGGCCCACCTAGGCAGACAACCTTACAGTCACTACTGCTCAAGGTATAAAATGAGGTAAAGTTCTTTGGTGGCAAGAATTGTCTTATTTGTATCTTTTTCCTAATGTACTCAACACAGCGTCCTTTAGGTAGGTGTCTAAGAAATATTTGTTGCATGGAGTTGAATTCCAGTGAGAAGAGGCATACACAGGCCAGGTATCATGCCAAATCCCTTAATTTCCAAATCCTCATACAACCAACAACAAACTATAAATTGGAATTGCTGTTGATATGTTTGAACTTCTACTTAAATTCCTCGCTAACTTGGTGCTTCTAAATTTAACACTCTAGTCACATTCCTGGCAGGGAGATAAGCACCAGGATGGAAAATTAGAGAAGTCTAGTCTAGTGCTCATCTTGGCATTGCCATTTGGCTGCAGAAGCTCTAGGGCAAGATGCATTATGATTCTTAGGTTCATTTTCCTCACTTGGGTGGGAAGGGGAAAAAGAGAAGCAAAAGCCAACATTTTAAAAACAATTTAACCATTTAAAATAGAAATTTTTTACAGATACCCATACTTAACTGTTTGGTGACTTTCTATTATTTTCACCATGCTAATAAGTAACCAGAGTCATTTTTAAAAGCAATATAGCAGGTACCTTATCTTAAAGAGCTCCAAAGTCTGATTCTGGGTAAGTAGAGAACACAAGTAATTGTCCATATTTTAGGAAGCATATCTGCACAGGGATCATATAAAAACAACCTTAAGGGCTCACTCTTGGTTGCTTGGAACAAATACTGGTTGGGTATTGGTGACTCCGCTTCTCCCAGATAAAGGGGTACTACCTAATGTCAGCCTATTATGGAATTGAATATTTCCTCTCAAACACAACTGTGCAAGCATGTTGGTGTAAGGACAGTCTCTGTTGCTCAAGGTCTAGCAGTTGGTAATCTCATAACACACTTGTAAATATCTGACACTTGAAATCTAGACCTCCTAGTATCCAAAGCCCTATGTATCCTCTTATTAATAAAGATTTTTTCCTCATACATATAAAAAGAGCTATTCACAGGTCCCTCTAATGGAATAAAATCTACACTATATGATGCGGACTCCCTGACCTGGCTCAGTTCTCCATACAGAGATGGGGAGATGGGGGGACTTTCTATATTTCTGATTTGTTGACTTGACCTTGATTATTTGCCTTTCCCCTCTAATTCTTATTCTTTCATCCATGTCAAGTGATATTTTGAAAATCACTCCACCCCATATTCCACCCATAGAGACATTTACGATATTAGCAACACAACAGTATCATAGGGAGAAAAGTCAGGACTTTGGGTTCAAAGTCTGTGACTTATCAATATAGGACCATTAATTAGTTACTAAATTTCCTTGAGACTCAGTTTCCTCCAGTTTAAAATTAAATTGATAACTCTCCATTGTGATTTTGATAATAAATAAAATGATGTGACAATCTCAGGCACGTTATCAACTCAATATTCAACTGTTTCCAACATCTGTCATCAGCAGCTACCAGATAGACCTTCTAAAAATTAAGGGAAAGCACTCTAAAGAAAATTCAACAGACCAAAGACTTGGAGTAGAGAGGAAGAAAGAAGAAAGGTAGAAAGTAAACCAGGAAGATGGATGATTTTAGCATAAAGATGTGAGATTTCTTTTTCCTGATTTCAGCTATACCTGGCTATGAC